GGGGGGGAGGGGGGATGAAGGAGGGTAGAGATATGTAAAAGTTGGTGTATTAAAATGTTGTAGAGAAATAATGTAAAGTTTTATGAAAAGGAGATGCTCGGCCAGTACCCCCAAACTGCATCCGAAGGATGAGGAAAGGAAGGAGGTGGGATGTGTGGGGTGGTTGGAAGAGAGGAGAGAGGTGTAGGTAGGAGGACAGGAGGGGAGGAGGGAAGTAGGTAGGAAGGGTGAAAGAGAGGGTGGATGCAGCCGAGCTGCTCTGAAATTTTTATGTCTGTATTTAATATGATTTTTTTTATTAATGTATACCATATTTGTATTAAAATACTCACCTGGGAAAGATTGCTCCAGAACTGTCGAAAGGCACTCAAACAGCTAATTAATTTAGTTCGCTCATCTTCTGGGGTATCCATAAACATGCTAAAACAAGTAAAGCCAAGATATTTATAAAGTATTTCATCACTAGTTACTACAACAGAATCTCTACAGTTATACGAGGAAATGGTTACATTTCACTTACCCAGGAAAAGCTTCCTCGATGACTTCTGTTTTCTATAAAAGAATTTAAAACATGGTATCACATTCTAATAACAACTTAGCTTTTATTCTATGTCACCTATATTCCATGTTCAAATCAATGTATCTAGAATGGGCAGAGGAAGAAACATTCTCAAATAAAAACTTATCTACTGATACCAACTTTCCAACTTTCTTTCCATTTATTAAAAGTATATGATACCAAAGTTACTGCCAAACCATTATATCAAACTGAAGTTTAGGGTTTAATATATATTACTACTAGAAAAAACCCAATCACAGTGTTTGAGGAGTATCTTGGTGGTATCTACTGATACCAGCTAACTAAAGTAAAAATTCTCCTCAACGCATGTAAACAAATGGAAAAAGGTAACCACAGAGCCAATAAACAAATAAACAAGCCCCACTTCAAGTATTAACCAGTGGTCTAAGGTGATAATTAAGAGAAAAGAAAATATTTTGGGGTAGGGAGGAGAGGTTGATAAAAATATTGATAAAATTCAAGATATTTCACTACATGAGATAAAGAAAAATGGAACAAAGAAATTACTGAGGGGAAATGGGGAACCAAAGAGAAACAAGGGCTGCCTATTGGTCTGTCCAAGCATCTGTCAATAAAATATTAACCTACATATGTATTCTAGACACATACAATGAATAGAAGTCTATACTTCTATACAATGTATAGAAAAGTCCATGTTGGGAGGTCATTAGGAAATAATCCTGCCACTAACAAAATATCTATAAACACTAGCCCCACATCTCAAAAAAGAATAATATGGAACTGAAGAGGGCAGGGATGATAAAAAATTCCCTAATGAGGAAGCAATCACAAGGTTGGGAACTATTACATCTGCAAGAGTGATGAACAGGAGAAGACAGAGGTGTGTAAGTGACGCACTTGCACAAAGCAAAGGGTTTTTCATCTGTCATAGTTTTAGAAGCAGAAGATTCAGCCTAGCCAAAGGCAATATACAGTAGTGGCCAAAATTGTGGAAATCTTTTGGGAAAAGTGTACATTTGAGATTTGATGGCTAATAGCACCACTTTGTTTTGGAGTAGTACCATAAAATTATATATCAATGGAAAAATAATTTAATCAAGAATGTAATGCAACAAAGTTTGCTCAATTATCTGTATTCTACGAAATGTTATAGCCAAATAACCAGAAAAAGGAAGCACAACTTGCTTAGGTTGATATCAGGTAGCTTTCCTTCATCTGATTGTAGCCAATGAGCATGAGTCTTGTTTTGGCAATGAACCAATCAGATCACAGTAGGATTCAGTTATTGATGTCATGTATTAAAGCTAAGAGGAGGACATTTGTCAATGTGTTATGTGATCGCTATCAAGTTGGTTGAATTTTTTTGTGTTCTTTCATTTAGTGAGCTTGTAAAACGTAATAAAATTAAAGTAATGGTGCAAAAAGTTGACTGGTTGCCCAGAAAATGATGTAAAATAGTATTATTAAGTGAATAAGGCTACAGTTATAAAGAAATTAGAAGAAAAATTGGTGGAAACTTAACCAAAGGTGGCATTTCTAAGTTTGTGAAGAGTATAAGGAGACTCAGTCTCTACAAAACCACACTGGTAAAGGCAGGAAAAGGTGCACAATAGCAAGTGATGATAGAAGAATTAAGAGACTGTGCCTACGTGACAGAAGAAAATCATCTGGGTGTATACAAGATGAAATGGCACAATGCAATGTGAAGTTGAGTGCAAGGACTGTTCGGCACAGACTACAGGAATTTGGCCTAAAATCTAGAATTCCATGAAAAAAGCCACTTTTATCACTCAAACAAAGATTGAAAAGATTAAACTGGGCTAAAACCCATGTTACCTGGACAGAGGAACAATGGGACAGTGTTATTTGGAGTGATGAGACCAAGATCTCCCTGTTTGGTAGTGATGGCATAAAATACGTAAGAAGAATAATCGGAGAAGATTTGCATCCTGATTGCATTACATGTACCGTGAAACACTCAGTGTTATGATCTGGGGGTTGTATGACATCAAAAGGTGTGATCTTTTCCAAGACAAAAGGTGTGATCTTTTCTAAGACAATGAAGGATTTATATTTCAACAGGATTCAGCTCCATGTCATGTTGCTGTTGTGTGCAAAAAGTGGTTTCAAGATAATCATATTCCACTACTGGAATGGCCTGGGAATAAGCCAGACCTTAACCTAATTGAACATCTATGGAGCCAACTAAAGAAACGTGCTAGTCAGAAGCGACCCAGCAATAAAACCCAGTTAATAGAAGCAATCATTCAATCTTGGTTTCACATTATAACAGCTGCAGAACTAAAGGACTTAGTTCACTCCATGGGAAGACGTTGTAAGGCCATAATTCATGCTAAAGGTTCCCCAACTAAGTATTAACTGACATGGTGATAATTTTTGTATATCTCGTTTTTTCTATGGTGGTAATTTTTGTATATCTCGTTTTTTCTATGGTGGTAATTTTTGTATATCTCGTTTTTTCTATGGTGATAATTTTTGTGTATCTCGTTTTTTCTACGTGTTTCACTTTTCTTCTTTATAACTGCTATTCTAATAGCAAATCCTTCATAAAAGTTATTGCATTACATTCTGGATTGAATTATCTTTCCATTGATATATAATTTTTCCATACTCCAAAAAAAGTAGTGTTATTAGCCATCACACCTCAAATGCACTTTTCCCAAAAGGTTTCCACAATTTTGGCCACTACTGTAGTCTTCACTTTGCCAACAATAGTTATGCCCATCAACTGGGGCAGCTTTAATAGGAGCCTAGCTAATCCAGGACGAATAAGACTATCCACAGTAAAGATTACTCCAGAAAGTTACATGGAAGCCCTAAGAGAGGTGCCTCGCCTTCTTAGTGGACAAGAAGTGAGGGCTGTTTCAGAGGCAATTCTTCATTTCCCCAGAGGCACCTAATCTATGGGGGAGCCGGGGATATTTGGGGTTAGATGCGGCCAGATCCTGCCTAGGTTGCCCTAACAAACCATTCAAAGCTTCGTTGCCTTCCAACCCCATGGAAACAAGAAGCATAAGGACCAGCTTGCTACTCCAGTTCTCCGTCTTCTTCTTCCTCCCCACATCATCTTCCCCCTTCCCTTTCTCCATCATCTGCCTTTTGCAAAGTTACAGCGAACGGTTCTTTCTCGCCAGCAGAGAGAGAGAAACAGCTGAATCTGACATCTACAGTCCCCTTCCCACCCCGCTACTCCCCGCAGCATTCCCCTTTCAGGCGGCGGCCATCGTTTGATGATGATGATGGTTGTTGATGATGATGATGACTGCCGTAGCGGGCGGCGAGACTCACCACCACCTCCTCGAAGATACTCTGCAACTGCGCCTCCATTGGGACCGCCATGGCGCGATCCCAAGGCTTTAGTCCGCCGCAATCCGGGCGGAAGAAGCAGCAACAAGCTCTCCTCTCCCCCACCGGTTCCCTTCCCGGAAGTGTTCCGGAAGGCGCTTCCTTTCGCATCCGGGTCGCGAGGAGCCGGGTGGGGGGGAATTCTACTACCTCTGCTGGGGTGGGGGGGGGGAATGCAGCAGCTTTTACTCACCGCTACGGATTGGAGGGTGGGATCGAGAGCTCCCATTTGCTTGCTTCAAAGTTCCGCGAAGGGCGCCAAACTCGGATGAAAAAAAAGCATCTTCCAGCGGTGGAATTTGCGAAGCTCCTCGATTTCCCCAAGGAAATGCACACCGGATTGCATCCCGGTTCTGTGGCCTCGTTTGCACGACGCGCGTCAGGAGTGACTCCGGTCATTGTTTAATAAAAGAAGACCCAGCAGTATTCCCCCAGAATGTCTATGGAGATTCTCAGTCATCCAGGTCAATGTTGTCCCAAAGATCCTTTTTCACGAGGCAACTGGACTTTCAACGAAAAACAAGAACGTCCAGTTGCCTCGTGCAAAAAGCATCTTTGGGATATTCCCCCATAATTTAATTTGGTGACCGAATCCAAATGCCTCTAGGCTTGCAAACGTACACAGCCCCCAATTATATCACCCTGCTTGGCTTCGCACAGGACACTAGAAAGTAATTTGAAAAATTTGATTGCTACCTGGGGGGCCACTCTTGGATTTCTTGCTGGAGAAAGAAAAAAAGTAATATTTTGATTATGGGATTTTATGATTAGATTGTTTTGATAAGATAAACATTGTGCCATGTTAAAGTTATACATGTTTCATTTGCATTTATAGTTTTTTTTATGTAATGCTTACATTTAAGACGAGAGGATATTTGTACTGTTAGTTTGAATATTGATTATTAGTATTATGTTATCTTTTTATGTACTTTTTGCCATGGGAGATTATTCTCAGATGTTTTGTTTGAAAATAAATTTTGACACTGAAATTGGGTGATTAGATTGCCTTTGATTAAAGAAATATCATAAAAAATTAAAATTATATATGCATGTTTTATATGATTTAGATAATCTTTTAAAGGGGCAGAAAAAGCATAAAAAAACGCAAGTAGTGCAAGTTTGGAAGATGTGAAGAAACCTGTCCCATAGAATCGCCTAGAGTCGAATATAACAAATGGATAACATCATCATCATAGCATAGCATGCATTGACTTATTTTATAATATAAAAAGATTTCTGTATTTGAACTTAATGTTTAATACTAAGGTCTCCACTGTATTTTTTACAAACATTAAAAAAGGAACTTAGAAATAGCAATAGCACTTAGATTTATATACTGTTTCACAGTGCTTTTATAGCCCTCTCTAAGCGGTTTACAGACTCAGTATGTTTCCCCCAACAATCTGGGTCCTCATTTTACCAATTTCGGAAGGATGGGAGGCTGAGTCAACCTTGAGCCGTAGAGGATTGAACTTCTGGCAGTTGGCAGAATTAGCCTGCAATACTGCATTCTAACCATTGCGCCACCACAGCTCATATTTATAAACATGGTAGACCCACTTAGAAACCACGCTGTGAGTTTATATTTGCCTTACTGTATGATGTATTGTGTATAGGGCAGTGGTGGCGAACCTATGGCACGGGTGCCAGAGGTGGCACTCAGAGCCATCTCTGTGGGCACACGCGCTGTTGCCCCAGTCCTAGGCCTTCAGCTGGGTTTTATAAAACCTTTTCACTTTAGGCCTCTGCTGCCATGTGCAAAAAAAAAAAAAAAAGATTCAGTCAATTTCAACTTCTCGTGGGAAAAAAAAGATCTTGCAAAGTTGGAATTGATTGATTGAACTTTTTAGTCCCACCAGTCTGCCATTACCACTGCAGCCACGTCCACCCAATTGGCCATGCCCACCCAATTGGCCACAGCCAGCCAATGGGCCACACCCACCCGGCACTCGATGCATAAGTGGGTTTTGGGTTGTAGCTTGGGCACTCAGTCTCTAAAAGGTTCGCCATCACTGGTATAGGGTAACCATACTTGACTGAATTTGATTAACAACTTTGGCAAGAAATATCGTAAAATAGAGCAAAGTTCACTTAAGAAATGTCTTGCTTAGCAAGAGAAATTTTGGTTGTAAGTCGAGGACTTACATTGTGATTGTAAGTCGAGGACCACTGGTCTTGCACCTTTCTTCCAAAGTTGGGCAAAGTTTAATCTCACAGCCATGACTGTGTATCTCAGTAAATTAGGCAGTATATGTAAGGGTGTGGGTCTATACATATGTTGTATATAGTATGTTTTAGGTGTGTTTCATGTATGAAGGAAGTAAAAGTTATTCTTTTAATAATTGTAGAAATAATTGTAGAAATGTAATGTCATTATATGAAACTGTCTCTTTAGTACAAATGGTAATCAGCAAAGATAATTAATTATGACCAAATGTTTACTGTTTCCTGCCTAAAAACCCTCCGGACACAGGAACTTACACTTTGAGTAGAAATCACTATCAAAGAGGGGGATTTTGACCCAAGGTGAGAATTACAAATAAACAAGATAACAGCAGATGGGTGGAAGAGGTCAGGATGACTAAGTACAACTTCAAAATACATTATAAAGATGAAAGAGACGTGGCATGCATTGTAGAGCTATAAGATGCAGAGTTTAATACCAGGCCAGGGTGCTCCTGGAAATCCAATCCATTGGGAAGGATCCAGGGGGCCCGTTTGCAAACGCTTCTCTTCTCTTCTCTTTTCTTTTTATTCTTTTTATGTTATTCTCCAATAAACCTTTGTTTTGTTAACCAGACTTGTCTTCGTATTGTGAGTATCAAAATTTGGGGTTTTTACATCTCACATGTATGTGTTTCACTTTGAGAGTGGGCAACTAAATGTCATTCTTGATGTGTGCCGTTGTGCCCACAGTAAAAAAATGACAATAAAGGTTATCTTATCTAATGTGAGCTAGTAAAGTGGCTTTATTCTTTGGTTTAGATGAGATTGCTGGAGGCAGGGGAGGGTCAGTTTGAGTCTGATAGGATTACACTAAGAAAGGCGGTTTGACTGAGATAATGTTCAAAAGACCGGGGGGCGGGGGCGGGGGCGGAGAGCACAGCTTCCAGTTTGTTAGCTTTATTTTCTCCACAGCGTAAGTTTTAATGCTGCCAAGCATGAGGAATCAAAGTACAGAATTCTCCAGCCATCTTCTAGTAGTGAGCTCATTTCTTTGGAATCTCAGTTTCCCAGAATGTTTGCAAGAGGGATTTTTTTTTACGATGATTCAATAATGTAATTTTTCATCTGCTGTTTGTGCTTACAGTTATTGCTCATTCTCAGCCTTGGCACAACTTCTTACAATATACAACACACCCATGTTTCCATTGTTTGCATATGTGCGTGCAACAAAAGAGGACAATAGAAACAAACATAGATTCGTAGTATGTGGCTTTGTTACATGGGAAGAAAATACAGAATGTCCATTGGCTGCTCCTGATTAAAGAAAGCTGGAAAGAATTCCAGAAGTCACACTTTGCACGCAGCAGCACAAGAGTCAGCAGAATAGCACTGGATTAAAGAAGCACTCGTTGCTTCTACCTCTGTTGTGTTTTGGCAACAAAACAAAATTGGGGTTCAGGTCTCAGAAGAAATAGAGAGGAAAGGAGAGAGACAGGATGAGTAAGACCTCTGCCTTTCTTGTTTGTTTGTTTTATTTTCTAATTCCTCAGTGATCATTCTAAATTACGGACTGAAACTAGAGAGCTCACTCCCCATTCTGTATTTCTTCCTCCTATTTCTTCTGCCAACCATGACAATAGAAGTTTGGGAAGGGGGGAGAATATCATCTCTCCCCCTGCTTTTCTTATGGGTGGCAAGTGAGGAAGAATGAAGAACCACCTTCTGTGAGAAAAGAAGCGGGGGGGGGAGTAGCTTTTCAACCAGACACCTCCATTCAAACTTCTCCCAAGGTCTGTGACACAGTTCTACTGTGCCATGGAGGAAGGGGTATCTTGGCTAGATATCTCACTTTCCTGTGCCCTGAGAATAGAACCAGGGAAAATGGCTCTCTAGCTGCCATTCTATGAGGGGAAACAGGTCTCTTTGGGGCTGAGAGAATTGATCTTCCAGGGATTCCTTCCCATGGTGCTCTCCCTTCTGCAATCTCTGGTTTGGCCCCTCTTCCAGTATCAAAAGACAAATGGCTGTGAGAATCAGTGACCCAGAACCAAGGGTTGAGCATGCCCACAGCAGACTCAGGTGACCATAAGGAGCAAAGCAACCCCTCAAATGCATATGGAGATTCTCAGTCATCCAGGTCATGAAGAACTGAAGAAGCTCTTGGATGAGAAGCGAAACGTCTTCAAAGAGAAAAAAGAAAGTCCAGTTGCCTCGTGAAAAAACACCTTTGGGACAACCTCTCAAACAGCTTACCTTTACATGAGGTGTTTCATACAGACCAGATGGCACAGCTTGTACCAGAAGAAGATGGAAAAAGCTGCTGGATCATGGAAGACAATTGCAGCCTGCCTACTCAATGGGTTGCGGTGAGTTGAAACAGCATTGCCATTCATAGCTTTCAAATCTGTTTGCTAAAGCATCATTAGTTCATGGGTAGGGGTCATATGGTTCAACCATTCTTTGCATTATTAGTTCTTAATTGCTTTCAATAGTTCATGGGCAAAAAAGAGGCATATAAATTCCTTAAATGAAAAAGTTCACCCCTCACTGTATCCCAAAATTATGATTATCTACTTTTCTGGATCCAGAAAAAATATATAAACAATGTGCAGGAAAAAGTGTGTGTTTTTTATTATTATTATTATTTTATTTGCAAACTGCCAGAGTCCCTCTTTGAGGAAAATGAGCAGTTCCTAAATGTGATTCATAAATAAATACATCATTCTTTTTAACAATGATAAAATACTGAATATACTTGATTTATTTGAATGTTTTCTGAATCCCAGTTTTTCCTGCCTGAAAGGAAACACATTTTCTCTCCCTCACTTTCGGTTTCCAAACAGAAAATTGCTGAAAATGCCTTCTGCCCTTTACATGTATTGGTTAAAAGGTGATTAGGTGTCCTCCCTCTAAATGAGC